AGGGTGGCCAAGGGCGAGGAGGAGGAGGTCGTGGCCGTGGGTTTGGCAATGGTGGTCAAGGAGGAAGAGGTGGAGGTTGGAATGGGCAAGGAGGAAGCGATAGGCCTCGGTTTGATTGGAGGAATGCCAATTGCCACCATTGTGCGCAGAAAGGACATACTTTGAAGTTTTGCTAAATCAGAAAGATGGACGACGAGGAGAGATTGATATCTTCGAACTTTGATGGAGACATCTATGACAAATTTGGAGAGTATATAGATCCCAAGGTTCCAGGCGGCATTCGAAAGGAGGCGCTCCGACGTACTAATCAGCAGCTTGCTCCTCCTGCTATGTTCAGACTATGTCTGGAATAGGAGGTGGATAAAGGAAACGACGAGGTGGATGTTGGAGTAAGAACGGCAGGAGATAATAGTGAGAAGGGAGATGTGGTAGAGCGAGAGAAGGATGAAGAAAATTGTCAGGAGACGGTGGGAGAGACTATGCGGCACATGGAAAGCCTCTTGGGGAAAATGCAGAGGCTAAACTCAAAACTGAGGACAATTTGTGATGAGGTAAGTAAACCAATGGTTTACTTGTTGGAACCGCAAACAGGGTCATCAGGTGCTAAGCCAGCATGCGGAACTTTGGGTTCTACTCCGCGGTCTGGGATTACATTCCGGCCTCCTCGAGGGCAATCGAGGGCACCACAAGTTATGCAAACAAGGAGCAAGAAGGGTAATCTTGCCAATGAGGAAGAGTCATCGAATAAGGGCGAGCCGCGAGAGAAGGGGGCAGTCATTGAGGCAGATACAGGAAATGAGAATTATAATGAGGATGAGCGATTAAGGAAGGAAGAGGAAAAGCAAGCTGCTGAGCGTGCCAAGAAAAAGAAGGTTGAGGAGCGACCGAAGACGGTAGCAAAATGAGAGACTTCTCGCAAGCAAAGGTATGCGGTACCTTTGGAGGAAGGATTAAATATTGAGGGTATGGTGGACAGGCTCTTTAAGGGCCATAATGAGTGGATGAACCTGAAGGATATCCTTGCGTCAGCACCAAAGCTCCGTGAGGAATTCAAGGCTAGACTTTCCCAGCGACGAGTAGCAAGTGTGAGGCTTGGTGATCTTATCCCAGCTGAAGCACATTGGGCGATTACTAGAACTAAGATGGATTGGAAATCAGTTGCGACCGGGAACGTGAACCTGGTCATAAAGGGGAAGTCGTGCAGTGGGATGCTGGACACGGGAGCAGAAATGAGTATCATTAAGGAAGTAGATGCGCTTCGGCTAGGACTCGATATAGACAGGGAAGACATGGGTTTCCTATATGGCGCGAGTGGACGGACACACTTCATTGGGACAGCCGCGAATGTCGTTGTGGAAGTGGGGAAGGTGAAGGTAAGGTCCTGCTTTTATGTCATGCCAGATCAGGACCATCCTCTGTTGCTAGGAAGGTCATTCGTTTGCCGAACAGAGTCAGTGATTTTAAATAAGCATGACGGCACTATGTACGTCATAATGAGTGATCCGGTTTGCGGCAACTACGAGATTATTACCTGTCATAATACAGGTCCTCTTAGTATGAGGAACAGGCCTAACCCAGGTTCATTTACCTTCGAGGAGTCCGAGGAAGAAAGGAGGCGGCTCATGGGGAAGGATGAAGTGGAGAGTGAGCCATATGGTGAGATGTCACTGAGCTTGACAAGTATCAATGACGCAATGGAGATAGTCTCAGCGTATGGAATGACGGATCCTGTGGCGGTACGGGCGCTGAAGGAAAGGGTTGTGGATGGCGAAGGCGAAGTGGAATTGGTGTATCGATTACCAATGAAGGAAGGAGATATGGAAGAACCTCAAGGCCATGATGCGAGTCAACCTTTTTTAGGGGTGGGCTTAAGCAGGGCTCCAAAAGGAGGTACAAACGCGTGACTGAGAAGAGTCATCCAGTTCCTGTCCTCACAACTGCGGAAGAAGAGTTCTACTCTGAGCAGGAATGTGATTTGATACGGCAAATGAAGGAGGATGCAGAACATGGACCGTGCCGTATCAATGAGAGGACTGAGGGAGACCTGATAATAGGAGAGCCAGAATTTCTCACTCCACAAGAGAAGGCCCTTATGGTAGAGGTAATGAAGGAGCGGCATCGCGCATATGCGTTTGATGATGATGAGCGCGGGCGTCTTGATGTGGATAAAGTTCCGATGATTCGGATCCACACTGTGCCTCATGTACCATGGAATTTGCGAGGGTCACGCTATCCTGATCCGACAGAGGAACGGAGAGTAGTCGACTGCTTGGATGACAAGATTCATTCTCATGTAGCCGACTATTCAAGTGCGCCTTACACATCACCATGGTTCTGCTTTATCAAGCCGAACGGAACCCTGAGGTGGGTGCAGAACCTTCAGCGCCTGAATGCGGTAACGATACGAGATGCGGGAGGTTTGCCGAATGCAGATGCGCTGTCAGAATCTTGTGCTGCCAGGCCTATCATTTCCCTAATAGACCTGTACTCGGTGTACGATCAGTTCCCGGTGTATCCACCTGATAGACCTATGACTGCGATGCATACACCAAGAGGACTAATCCATATGAATGTGGCGCCACAAGGGTGGACGAATGTTGTGGCGATGGTGCAGAGGCATATGGTTCACGTTATGCAGACGGTTAGTCCACATCTTACGCAACCATACATTGACGATTTGGCTGTGAAAGGGCGGAAGAAGAAGGATGAGATGGAAGTTATGCCTGGGGTAAGGAAATTTGTCTGGGATTTTATACAAGATATTGCTTGGATTCTTGACATTCCGAGGGATTACAACTTTACCGCGAGCGGACTGAAGTCGAAACACTGTATGCACGAGGCGACCATTTTAGGTTTTGTATGTAATGAGAGTGGCCGGTGACCGGATACTAAGAAGACTAACAAGATACTTGAATGGCCGACGCCATTCAGATCTGTTGGTGAGGCTAGAAGCTTCCTGGGGACGTGCGGGTTCTGGCGAGCCTTTATCAGAGACTTCGCAGGGAAAACAGAGCAGTTTCGGAAGCTTGTGCGCCATGATCAGGAATGGGAGTGGGATGAGAAGCAAGAAAAGGTAGTAGATGGACTGAAGGAGGAATTTAGAGATGGAGGTTTGGTGCTCGGCGTACCCGACTTTGAAGCAACTTTTACTCGTCCTTTCATTGTGGAGACGGATGCAGGGTCAATAACTTTGGGAGGTGTGCTCATACAGGCTGACGTCAATGTCGAGGATAGGCCGCTGAGGTTCGAGAGCCGAACTCTGAATAGTGCCGAAAGGAACTATTCACAGTTCAAGCGCGAGACGCTTGCGGTCCTCCACTGCCTGAGGATATTTCGCAATTACTTCTTTGGCAGGAGATTCATATTGAGAGTGGATCCAACTGCATTGGCATTGGCAGGATCATTGAAAAATTATTCCCCGTCAGACCCGACTATCGCTAGGTGACTTACATACATATGGATGTTTGATTTTGAGTTGGAGCGCATTCCAGGGGATAGAAATCGGGCTGACGGGCTAAGCCGCATAGATTGGGATAAGAGTGAAGGAGAGGCCAAGGAGGGCACATCTCCAGTTGATGCATTCCTCGATGAAGAAGAGGATGAAAGACTCCATATTAATGCATGTGCGGTTGGAATAAGTGAAGGAGTAAGACAAGGGGAATCGACTTTTCTTGCGCAAACAAGCTATGTGAAGCGGCCATACATAGTCATCAAAACTTTTGAGGAGGAAGATCCATGGGGAGGTAAAGATGTGGAATGGATGAAAAAACTCGCTCTCGCAGAAATATATCGACTATCTGAAGAGCGATTGACTATTGAAGAAGAGATTCACGCGATTGAGGCGCGTGTTATGCATGAGGCGGATGTCAATTTCCTTGTTAACTCGATACTGCAAGTGCAGGAGGGTGTGAGTGGAAGTCAGGATCCTGTAAAGGATATGGAAGAGGACGAGTTTGAGGAAGGAGAAATAACAGAAGCATTTCGTGCAAAGGAATATGATGGCGTGTATCGGGAATTGGGGTTGCTTCTCTCGTGCGAGATCAGGGAGAGAGAGGCTTCCCTAAGGGTGCATGAGATGTGGCCGCGATTTGTAGTGCATGACGGACACCTCTTTATAAAAAACGAGGCTGGAAATCCAAGGCGAGTGATTTGCGGGAGACATCGCCAGATCGATGTGATCGCAGCACTACACGATGGACCTGCTGGAGGCCATGGAGCTTTTGCGCTTACTTATGCTAAGGCGCGCGAGCTTTACGACTGGGAAGGTATGAGCGAGATGATTCGTAAGTATTGCGAGTCGTGTGTTCCATGCGAGATCAGAGCCTCAACGAAGTATAAGGAGCCTCTACATCCGAGGATTGTGCGAGATGCAGGGGCAGTGATCCATTTGGACTTACTGGTCATGCCACCGGGAGTGGGAGGCTATAATTACATTTTCGACGCTCGTGATAATCTCACAGGTTTTGTGGATGGGAGGGTCATCCGCAGTAAGACAGGTGAGACTCTGGCTATGTGCATCATGGAATACTTTCTCAGATATCCCTTTGTCATGGAGTTCGTGATGGACAGAGGTTCCGAGTTCACCTGTGGAGAAGTAAAGGACTTGCTGCAGGGGTATGGTCTGAAGGCAAGCTATACGACGAGGGTTCATCCACAGGCGAATGCTCTGGTGGAGAGGGGATATACCACCCTTACAAACTTATTGGCGAAGTGGACGGATGGTAAAGAAAATCAGTGGCCTAAGCACCTGCGTGCAGCCTTCTTCGTGGAAAATATTACAATCAAGAGATCCACGAAGTATGCCCCAGCGACCTTATGGTATGGAAGGCACGCTACGCTTCCTATAGAGAGCTTTCTGACAACGTGGAGGCGGCAGGATATGGAGACCAACTTGACCTTCGAAGAATTGCTGGATCTGCGGGCAAGGCAGGTTGGCATTGCGGAAGAGAGAATTTAGGAGGCCGCGGATGGAGTGATGGACAGTCGAATGAAGGACAAGGAGAGGTGGGACCGTCTTCCACGAGTCAGAAAGGAGCCACTCGAAGTGGGAGACATAGTGTTGCTGTATGACTCGTCTCTGGAGAAACAATGGTCGCGTAAATTGGACAAGCGATGGTTAGGTCCTTACCGTATTCGACGGTGTGGGCAACATGGGGCGTATGAGATCGAAGAGTTAGATGGCACGCCATGAAGTGATTGGGTCTCGGGTTCGAAGCTGAAAAAGTTTGTGGCGTGGGATTGAGGTATGTTGGAAAGTGTCTTAGATGAATTTTCTTATGATTTGGCTGAGTCCATGACGTGGTAGGGTGGCATATTAGTTTAGCTTGGACTAGGTCTCGGTTTAAGAGTCCTAGGTTTTAGTGAGTAAGCCAGATATATAAGGGTCTATCTATACTCATTCTATTTTGCTCCTGTCATCCATCCTTATGTGTGCAGGGACAACTTTTCGAAGTTGGCCATAGCTTGTGAGGCGGGAGGATGGCGGGACATGGAGAGCAGCGGACAACCACGTCAGCGATCCTGGATCCATTTTGCTACTATGGTAGACATGTTTTTCCATTTCTGGATGATTGGTTAGACGGGCCTGGGCCCTCAGATTAAATTTCTCCCAGTTGATGGAGCGAGTTAGGGGTACAGGTAGGTATGTGGAATGTGTGGCTCGGATTACGAGAGACTCTTTGGATTGGCGTCAATTCGCCAGGAGGATGCTGAGGTTGAGACCCCAGCCTTTGGATCGACGGGGTAGGCCCATGCGTTTCAACGGGGCCAACCTGGACGAGTTTCTTGAGAGTTTTGCCATCTTAGTCAGTGAGCAGAAATGGACTGAGGTGCAGGGTATCCGACAAATTCGGCATTGGGTTATTCCTGAGCTCAGACACGAGGTGAGTCCGTTGATACCCTCCATATTGTCCTGGAAGGGGCTTGAGGCAACACTTAGAGGGGCGTTTCCAGCTAGTAGGAGGCGCAGTTTGTGTCGCCGACATCATATTTGACCGAGTCGTGCGTGACCACGGCTTACCTCTGAGCATCATATCTGACCGTGACCCGCGCTTTACCAGCCGATTCTGGTGACGGCTCCACGAGGTGTACGGCACTCAGCTCCGCTTCTCCTCGTCTTACCATCCTCAGACTGATGGTCAGACCGAGATCACGAACAGGACTCTCGGGGATATTCTCCGAAAGATTGTTCGTGACGACCAGCAGTGGGATCTCCATCTTGCCCACGCGGAGATAGCCTACAACCACGCCGTCTCGCCAGCCACAGGGATGTCGCCTTACTATTGCGACCTCGGCTATCACCCGCGTGTTCCCGCGGACTACCTTCGACCGTCCCAGATGCACCCCCACACGAGTTGTCCCACGCTGGATGATTGGGTTGCACACATGACATCGATTATGAAGACCGCACATGAGCACATAGCCGCTTCCCAGACTCGCATGGCAGCACATGCGAACCGATCGAGGATGGATCACCCATTCAAGGTCGGTGATGATGTGCTTATCGACACCCGCCACTACAGCTCGAAGCGGACACGCTTCGCAAGTTTCGGCGTCGCTTCTTTGGCCCATGCCGCATCCTCCAGGCCGTCGGTTCTGATACGACATCTAGCCCGGTCAGCTTTCGTGTGAAGCTGCCCGACTACCTACGCCAGACTCGTGTGCATGATGTCTACCACGTCTCGTTACTGCGTCCTTACCGCAGACCGTCTGAGCGTTTCGCTGGACAACCATACAAGCGCCCTCCACCCATCATGGTGGACGACCACGAGGAGTTCCTCGTTTTAGACATCATTGGTCGCCGAGTCACCGATGACAACCCTCCCCACGTTGAGTATCTCGTACGTTGGAAGGGTTACCCTGATGAGGAGGCTACCTGGGAGCTCCTCGAGCACTTGCAGCACGCTCGCATGTTGGTGCGTGTCTATGACCGTGCTCGTCGTGCTGGGTTCACTGCTCCTCCTCAGCCCACTGACCCTCCTCCTTCTCCTCCAGCTGAGGAGACCGCTGAAGTCGAGCCTGCTCCATCTGAGGCAGACCTTCGGCAGCAGCCGGATGCCTCTGAGCGTCCACAGCGCACTCGTCGTCGTCCTGCTCGATACGACGATTGACTCTGACTTACCTTCCTACGTCTTTGACTTCTCAGTACTCCATCCACATCAGTTTTGCTACTTCAGCTCGTCGACGCTGCGGCTCTTCCTCGACGGCATTCCGGACTTCTCATCGTGGACGTCATCGGCGGCTTCATGGACTTCATCACGATCAGCTCTGCCTAATTCAGACGTCGCCACTCTCTTACCACTCTACCCTGTACAGTACCCTGCTTGTGTCGCATGATGGTCTCCCTTTAGCCGGGTTCCTCTGAGTTGGGCTCTCCCTTGGTATACGCATAGGCATCGGGACCGTAGCGTTGCCCTGGTTTCCCATCTTACGGATCTAGCTCCGACTTCCCTCACTTTAGGAGTAATTTGCATGATTCCCTTAGCCCCGCATGCTTCATCTAGGTGCGCCCAGTATACCAGGCTCCCTTGTTCCCTTGCATGGTCGACCCTCCATAGCGGTCACCCCTTAGTCGAGCATTACCCGCCCTGATGGTCTATCTGTTAGGGTCATTGGTTCTGTTCGCTCCCAGTTCCCTACCCTCATTGAGCCTGATGACATGTGTTTTCCCCTGTCACTATGTGTGGATGCCCTTAGGAGTTTTCGACCCCTAGGCTGCATTCGCCACCCTCAGAGACCATCCCACCCTTTGGTGTGCGATACACTTCTCATGTGACATATGGTTATCTTGTTGATTGCTTTGTTGCTCTCAGACTAAGGCTACTSCCTCCGACATTTCTAGGATTTAGTTGTTCTGCTTTTGCTGTTCTTAGGACTTATACACTAGTCAGTTGTTACCAGACTGAGGCTAGTGCCTCCAACATTCTAGGATCTAGTTGTCACTACTTTTTGCTTTCCTAGGACATGTACGTTAGTTAGTTGCTCCTACTTTCACTTAGGCTGTTAGCCGTGACATTGCTGTTTTGTGACATTTTATATCCTAGGTTGCATCGCATGGACTCAGCATGGAGCTTGCTCCGCATCCTAGACTACTCAGGTTTTCTTTTCTTTGGTAGAGTTCCGCTTCTTGGCGGAAGCATGTTTCTATCTAGGCGATCCATCACAGGCCGAGGATCGTGTAGCGGACCTTGGGTTGGCCTGTGAGACCAGCCCCTTGGCCTGTTCTCACAGGCCTGTGTTATATTCGGGGTAGGCCAGTCCAGGCCGGT